AGCATTTTTGGGGAACATCACTTAGTACGTGAACTTTGATGAATTCGAAATATATTGATTTGAACTGATCCATGTTGGCAATATTATGTACAAGACTCTAATTTGTTATAAATTTATCAGACTGTACTTGTCTCACTAAACTGAAGTGAAACGGCTATGCATAATGGAATGATTTATAAGGATCATTTAGATGAAAGTGTTATTGTTTCTTTAACACGGAAGTGAAGAAGGGTGATGTGTTTATTTATATTTGAGATGAAGGTAGAGCCAAGTGCTTGTGTTTTGGTGTTACTATAGTCCAAAAAATAAAAATTTATATTAGACTCGGAAAAAAATGTGTTCTTAAACTCAACTACATAAATTGGAAACAACTTGCTAATATCAACGAATCTGAAAGGTTTTCTGATAGCTGATGATAACCCACCACAGCTGACTGGCTGAGCTTCATTGATCCAGAAGCGATTCATTTCAAAATTTGTTTCAATCATCAAGAACTAGGAATTCTGCTGGTGGTCAGAATTAGTTCAAGATTTGTTTCAAAAAGATTTCTTTCATTGGCTAGAATTTCAATCAAAGAATATTATAGTCTAATGTATTCATCCAAACATCTACATAAATTTTTAATGAATTCTTAAAGCTGGTTTTAAACAGTCGAATGTTCTCAATCAAATCCTTTCAACTGCAAGTCATGTAAAAGTCAACCACATTCAACATTCACTGTTCCAGAAGTTGTCAAATAATGCTAAATCCTGAAAGTGGACCACAAAAGGCATTCTTTATGTTCCCACCTGTAAATTTCTTGAAAATCAATTTCTTTCACTCATCACCATCAATTTTGATTCATTCAGTTGTAGTTTTGCCTACGCCATACATGTCCAGATAATTATGCGACCCCGTGAATGTAACACACACCAAGTAGACTCTCCATCTTATTGCATTTTTTCCAGGTGGCCCAAGAACCACCAAACCAGTGACAGAATTCTCCGAATAAACCATTCCTGCACACTTTGCCCTGCCATGGAGCAACTCAACTTCTTCACTCTGAAAGTACTCAACACTAGAATTTAGTTCCATCTCATATATGAAGACAACATATGTACAGCTAGATATGATACAACAAAATGCGTCTCGTTTTTCAGCAGCTTATATGGCGTTTGATTGATTGTTTTCTTATAAGTCGAAGGAATTTTCCAGAGAAAAAGTTGCATCTGTCAAGATTCAAGTAACATCATCCTGGTAAGTCTGGTTGTGGGAATAAATTTGTATGGTATTTATGAAAGATTTGCAGTATCTCGGCTACTTTTCTTTAGTTAATGAACATAAATTTTCAGCTTTATCTTTGCAATTTTTTTTTTAGTTTGATACCGTATTTCCTTTTTGGCCATTAATATTTCTACAAGCCTCAAGGTAGTTCGAACCTAAGAAATCAATGAAGAGAGAAATCTTCTTGATTGTCAGGCCAACTCCGAGATCATGATACTGGTATTTTCCTTTTTTCATTAATGCTTTTACAAAAGATCTAGTGGTCAAGAAGGTTTGCTTTTTAATGATTTTTTAGGTTCAAATCATCTTGAGCATCTATCAGGCTATCACATTTGTGGCTTATCTGGAATATTAGACTTGTAGGGCATTCAGTGGGGCTTGTAGGGTGTTCAATCGGCTCCCGAAGATTAATTGAAATACATACAACTAGGCCGAAACTCTAGTTTTTCAAAAATTTATAGAAATTTACCAATGTAGTCCCATTAATTCAGCTTTTAACTTATGATTCGTTCACTTTTGACCTTAATACTTTAACCCCATAAATGTAACTTTGTATTTCTCGCTCCTCATCATTTGAACATTACATTTTGGCTCAGAGAATAAATTTGCTAGGTCTAATTTGCCTTTAGTGTCCATCCTATAAATATATAGGTGTTTAAGTCTCGTTTCAACTTTACCACTTCCCTGTCACCTCCCACTTACCACCTCCCATTATCAGCTTCAACAGTGTCCAACTCGGCCCCCTAACAGCTTCACTACCCAACATCAACATGCCGCTAAATGGTTGTGGCGTTCTCCCCTGTGTTTTCCTTCATGATTTCTTTAATAGCCGCTATGTTGCTTTACCAACTCGACTTCTTCCTGCCAGCTCACATGCCTGTCCACGACTTCACTGTTGTAACCGCTAAATCGTTTTTCACCATTCTAGCCATTTCTGGCCAAATCCATGGTTGTAAACACCATAGATCTGGCCATAAACAGTCACATATCTGGTTGTTAATGTCTAAAAGGATTTGGTTTCTGGCTAGAATTAAGGTCAGATCGGCGTACGACTAGCCAGTTTAGATTGGTTGTACATCGTTCCAACATTGCCTGCAATGGCCAATCATGGTGACTAGTGACCAATAGTCGTCTTGGGTGGCTGGTGTATTTTGTTAAATATTAAACTTTTATTATTGGATGTTTTAGCTAAATTATTAAATATAGTTAAAAGTACTGTTCTAATATATAATAATTTCCATAATTTTCATGAGCATCATGAATTTTTATTTACAAGTGGTTACCATATACACACAAAATCGTTATAGCATATAAAATCAATACTGTACGCTAATAACAGAGGAATTATTATAGCATCTTACTATTCATCAGGAAGTAGATTTTTATTACAAAGAGGGGATCATACTTCTATTTAATGAAGTATACATTTCGAAGAGAATGGTTTTTGTTTGACAGGAAGAAATGCATTATTCCAATTATCTTTAAAGTAAATATCGAGTCTTATTCCATGCTTATATGGAACAGGATTAATAGCAGGAAAGCAACAGAACCTTAAGCATAACGTGAGCATGAGTTGTAGCCATCTTCATCCTTGTATATAAATCTATCACACGAAAGATTGAGAATTCGGTCAAGGAGAGGCATTGGCACCGCAGTTGGGCGAAGGTATTCTTCATTTATATCCTTCCAGGCATCCATCACTTGTTTTTGAAATTCATTGCGTGCTCTTCTTCGGTTGCACCATGTTGTATCATGAAACACCAAGCTTGAGGCAACATGGCCTCTCTTTTGTTCGAACTGTATGATAGAAAACAACTATTGGTTAGTAAGGAATTCAAGAAAAATTCACACCAATATTTTATAATTATACTAGTAATGAAAATGTAATTACCTTGTGGAGACCTGTCGTTCATGAGTTCTCCGATTACTGAGGAAGCTTTATCATCTTGGGATTTGTGAATAACCATTCAAGGCTTTCTTGGTTACAATATTCCCATTCCCACAAATGATGTTGTGGCTAACATTGAGTAGCAGAGGTAACTAATGCAACAGTCATGTACTCATCCATGATGGTACTAATTTTTATGACACCATTTGGCTTCATAGAAGTAATTTCTATAATGTCTTCATCTGAGAAATCAAAAAACATCAAAATTCAATTATGTATAGGTAAGAATGAATCCAATTGATTCTGAGTTAACCCTAATTAGTCAAATGAAATGAAACTCACCGCTTCTTTTGCAAATGAAGGAGGTATAATCTTCCTTGATCGCCATGTCTTTCTCAGTCTCACTGTAACATCAAGGAGAGCCTGATAACACAGTTTCATGTACCCAGGCAGTTGATCCATGGCACTGACATCCACCTGAAAAAGAAAATGCAATCTTATTGAATAAATGTAAATTAATAGGATGATTAGAGAGAATGGATATATAGGTCAAGAATTATAATTACCTCTCAATTGCTTCGGTAAAAAGCTCAAGTTCTTCAATTGTACCATAACACATCATAGACATCGTCGATAACAGAAGTCATCGCAGTCACTTTGGTTAATATCCTTCTAGCCGGAGAATTTCAGGCTCGAATACACTCCCACTGTCCAAAAGTAGCATTCTATCACTCTGTCTCTTACAAAAGGTAGCTTATGGGCAAAGTCTAAATCTTTCCACCACCTAAAGTAACATATTAAACAGAAGTCATTAGATAAATTCAGTGAATCTAAAGCTTAAAAATGGTAGAACTGCCGTCATTTTAAAGCTTACTTTGCATATGACTGAGTTCAATCTGGTGCATCTTTTGTAATAGTTAAAATCTAACTTTGCGAAGGCTAATAGAACTTCATTGTGGACTGGGAAGCATCTTCTTGAAAGATGCTCTGTAATGTTAGCGTCGTCCTCTGTAAGCCCTTGCGAATTGGACGATTTAAGGCATGCTTAACTTGAACTGCAACTGGAGGGCTAAGTTGGGCTGCAATGGACTCAAGTGAGCGGTAGTGAAAGCGAGCGCTTCATCGAGTATATTCCTCCCATGCACCTTCAGATGTGTGGCTTCATACAAACTTAACATTCCTCGAACATCTTTTTCAAGAGATGCCTTGAACTTCCCATTGCTGTCCTTGAACTTGTTGAAAATGTCTGTTTCACCCCATCACGCATCATATTTAAACGATGAAATTAAAAGGTGTAATTAAATTAAGAACAATAAGAGGAAGAGGTTCGAGATAGAACATATACCACAAGAAATATTATAACCATGTTGTCTTAGCAATCGGAATTCAAGAGAGGTTGAATATAAGTCATCTCCAAGATCACTGTCTTGGTGAGCCTTGTAGACTTTTGCTAGTATTTCATCAACCTCAGTTTCAAAATGATAAGACACGCCTAACCTTTGGATTGCGTCAATCAAGTCAAGTTTCTCTGCAGGCTTTTTCACGTCAGCAATTATCAATTTTCTAATTTCTTCCTTTAGTTCTAGTAGCCTTGCATTATGATCAGGTTCCTAAAACAAAAATGTTAGAGAAAATTAAAGCCATATATAAGAGCTAGGATAGAAAATTATATTTCAGGAAGCGCAAAATATACATTGGCTTGAACTCATACACATGCAGAGTGTGCATGTTTTAGGTTGAGAGTAGTTTTCAAAATGTTTTCTCTTCAGTTTTTACAGAAAACATTTTTTAATGTAAACATTTTTGGACAAACACATCCTGATTAAATTAGAAGAAGCATGAATTTTACCATGGACTCAGTAGCATATGAGAGGAAATGATCCCCCCAAATGCTAGGATGAAAATTAGCTGACCGACGATTAGTTTCTTCCTTTGCAGTATTTTCAACTGAAGTAGCAGCAGCTGAAACTATTGAAAGAGACATAATTATGAAATTTCTTTTTCTGGTTGAACGAAAAACAAGAAAAGATCGATGTAGATTGTTTTGGAAAGCTTCTTGTGCTTCAAGGCCAGTGTGAATCATAGTGCCTTCACAAATATGTATTTATAGACAACCTGAGAGATATAGAGTAATAGTCCACATGAAAAACATTTTACTGTTAATTCCTTCTGCGAAAAAATAACAATAATAAAGTTGATTCTCTCATTGTTGATGTTCAAGTTCTTTTTTTGACATTCCTTTTTGGGAAATGAATTCTCTATTTGTCTTTTGCAGTTTCTGGATGGGTGGGTTATATTTGCAGAATACGCAAGACCCAGAGTGTTGGAGTTGTCGACTACTTCAGCATTAATGGGTAACGGAGACGCACTCGGGGGTCCCGCTGCCCGGTCAGCGGGCGGGTGCCCCGCTCCCCGGTGAGAGGGCGGGGGTCGCAGGGGCAGCGCCCCCGAGCCCGTAGGCGGTTTTGGGCTTTTCCATGTATAACTGCTGTAGGATTCCTTTTAAGTTATTAATTCCTTTTTGGGTTGGGCTTAGGAATAAGAATTCTTGTAAAACTAGGTTTAATCTCTTAAACCTAGTATATAAACATACTTTTCTCTTGTTATGTGTGTGAGAACAATTCATTCATTGTAAACGAGAGAGGTGAGACATATTGCAATAATATTGACTCAGCTGGACGTAGCCTACATTGGGTGAACCAGGGTAAATCGCGCATATTACATTCTTTGTTTACTATTTGTTTTGTTTAACTATTATTATTTTGTTCCTGTTGCTTCTCTATTTCGTTCACAGAGCACCTCCAGGGCCTCCATCTGAGAATTTGTCTTCTCAATATGGGGACAACATGTCATCCCCATATGGCCGACAGTGACTCACGCGTTCCTAAAACAAGATGGTAATCCTTCACACTGGCCTTTGTCAGTGGTCGGCCTTCCATCAATTGTAACCATGCATTTTTGGGGAACATCACTTAATACGTGAACTGTGTGATGAATTCAGAAATATTGATTTGAACTGATCCATGTTGGCAATATTATGTACAAGACTCTTAATTTGTTATAATTTTATCAGACTGCAACTTGTTCTCACTAAACTGAAGTGAAAACTGGCTATGCATAATGGAATGATTTATATTAAGGATCATTTAGATGAAAGTGTTATTGTTTCTTTAACACGAAAAGTGAAGAAAAACAGGGTGATGTGATCATGATATATGGGCAAAATATTTGAGATGAAGGTAGAGCCAAGTAGCTTGTGTTTTGGTGTTACATATAGTCCAGAAAAATAAAAATTTATATTACACTAAGAAAAAAATGTGTTCTTAAAACTCAAACTACATAAAATTGAGAAACAACTTGCTAATATCAAACGAAATCTGAAAGGTTTCTTGATAGCTGATGATAACCACACCAAAGGCTGAGCTTCATTTGATCCAGAAAGCGATTCATTTCACAACACTATCATCAAGAAACTGGGAATTCTGCTTTTAACAGTGTCAAAAATGTTCTCAATCAAATCCTTTCAACTGTAAGTCATGTAAAAGTCACCCAACATTCAACATTGACTGTTCTACAAGTTGTCAAATAATGCTAAATCCTGAAAGTGGACCACAAAAGGCATTCTTTATGTTCCCACATGTAAATTTCTTGAAAATCAATTTCCCCTTCAGCATCACCATCTGGATTTGATTCATTTAGTTGTAGTTTTGCCCACGCCATAACATGTCCAGATGAATTATAGCGACCGCGTGATAATGTAAACAAACCAAGTAGACTCTCCATATTTATTGCATTTTTTGCAGGTGGCCCAAGAACCACCAAAACCATGGACAAAATTCTATGAATAAACAGCCAGATCCATTTTGGCCATTCCTGGCCAAATCCTTGGTTGTAAACGGCCATAGATTTAGCCATTAACAGTCACAGATCTGGTTGTTAATGTCCAAAATGGATTTGGTTTCCGGTCAGAACTAAGGTCAGATCGGTGCACGACCGGCCAGATCGGTGCACGACCGGCCAGATCAGGTCGATTGTGCACTGTTCCGATGATTGCCCACAATGGCCAGTGGTGATGAACAGTTACCGGTAGTTGTCTTGGGTGGCTAGGTGTATTTTTTTAAATATTAAACTTTTGTTGTTGGGGTGTTTTAGCTAAATTATCGAAGGTAGAGGGTTAAAAGTACTGTTCTAAATAATAATATTAATAATTTCCATAATTTTCATAAGCATCATGAATTTTTTATTTACAAGTGGTTACCATAATCACACAAAATCTGTTTAAGGGATAAAATTCATGGGGTACTGCCAGTGGTGGACCCAGCATTTTTGCTCAGGAGGGGCCTCCGTGGCTCTTTCATTGTTTGTCAAACAATTAGTGAAAAATTTAAAAAAATCACCAAACCTTAAGCAAAGGAAATAATATAATATCAATAATCTAAAAGAAAATAATACAACAACACAATACTTTACTACTTGAATAAATCTATAAGAAGCAAAACCTTGAGTAAATTATATTGAAAATAACATTCAATTCACGAGGAAACACAAGAAAATTTTTACATGAAAAAATCTCTTTAATTAAAGAGAGCAAAAGATCACGGGAATCTAACGATCCACTTAAATCCAATATAATTAAAAGAGTTTACAACAATCACAATCCACTAAAAATATTCTACATAAATTTCTTATTTCTCCTCTTTTTTTAAAATTTTTTTTTTCAAATATTATAATATAAATTTTCATGACTTTGATCAGACCTAGCCTAAGCCAAAGTCAACTAAAACTTAAATTAAGTCAATGTTGACTTGACTTTTAATATAAATTAATAAAAAAAGGAGAAATTTTCTTAGTATAAACATAGATAATAACTTAAACTTCTTTAATAATTTTGAGCAGCTAAACGGTGACATTTGAAATGTAAGAAAGTGGTGGGTAAACGGTGAAGAATAACGTTAAATAAAATATAGTTAAGGTTTAATTTGAGAAAGCGAAAACATTCTTAAACACAAAACAAACTCACAAGATCAATGCTTTTTTCCATCAAATTAGAATAAAAAACCTCCAAAAAATAAGTATGATTCAACCCTAAAATAAACTAAAATGAAATGAGCAATATACATACCTAAAACTGAGAAAACAGAAAATAAAGCTAATTATGACACCTTGATGAGTGAAAGCTTCAAGAATTTCAGTCTTCAAAAGTTTGAAGAACGAATAACATAGAAAAAGTAAGTGAGAGAATAAAAAATTTTAGGGATAAAATCATAAAAAACAGATGCACATAAAAAAGAATGGGGAGAGTTTTAAACTTTTAATATGTTATAGGCGTAAAATATATGTATTAATAGTAAGTTTTTTTATGAATTTAGATATATGTATAACATTTCTCATTTTTTTTAAATTTGAAGATAGAGCTGCATATATATAGAATTTTTTTATTGGACCATATAAACAATTTAAAAAAAAAAATAAAATGTGAGGCCTACCCTGCAGGGGGCTGGGTCCGCCCCTGGGTACTGGGACCGTGGAACTGCATAAATGAAAAACATTGATGTATTATTGAATAATTATCAACAATAAATTAAATGCTAGTTCCTGGACATTTTTAGTTTCAGACGGGTTGAGATTAGTTAAAGAAGCGTTCGCAGTATGACTTTAAAGCATAAACACCCTTCAAGATTAGTGCCAGTAACATTAAATCCAGATGTTTAAATAAGTGACATTATAAGTCCAATTATCATAATATAGTGATATTTTCATGCAAAAGATAACTGCTGTTAACCTAATCCGTTATCTAACAAACCAATTTAGATCAAAAGACACAAAAACCATTTTATCTTATTTGATTATAAATAAAACTAAACAAAAAAAATTAGATATAATAAATATAAAAAAATCCAAAAGTTGTTTTCTCATTAAAAAAAAATAAAAATTTCTTTCCATTAAAATTATAATAATAAGTAATTAAATCAGGGAAAAAAATTTATTATAAAATTATTTAATGATATAGCAGTTAAAAATAATAATATGAAAGATGAAAATTATAGATTAAAAAAAAAAAAAAAATGTTAAACAAAAGTTAGGTGTACTTTTTTAGATAAATTATATATTTACTTTGTCCATATTACCCATAATTGATTGTGCTATCACGTGACAAAAAACATAAACTCCTTTGTTTTATATCTGATTAGTCAGAATCATATAAAATCAGTACTGTAATGCTAATAACAGAGGAATTATTATGGCATCTTACTAGTCTTATTCCCTGCTTATAATGACAGATTAATAAGCAGAGAAGCAACAGAACCTTAGCTAACGTGAGCATGATGTAGCCATCTTCATCCTTGTATATAACATTATCACACGAAAAGATTGAGAATTCGGTCAAGGAGAGGCATTGGCACCGCAGTTGGGCGAAGGTATTCTTCATTTATATCCTTCCGGCATCCTCACTGTTTTTTTGAAATTCATTGCGTGCTCTTCTTCTGTTTGCACCATGTTGTATCATGAAACACTCAATGCTTGAGGCAACTGGCCTCTCTTTTTGTTCGAACTGTAGATAGAAAAACAACTATTGGTTAGTAAGGAATTCAGAAAAATTCACACCAATATTTTAATAAATTATACTAGTAATGAATATGTAATTACCTTGTGGAGACCTGTCGTTCATGAGTCTGCCGATTACTGAGGAAGCCTTTATCATCTTGGGATTTGTGATAACCATTCAAAGGCTTCTTTGGTTACAATATTTCCCATTCCCACAAATGATGTTGTGGCTAACATTGAAGTCAGAGGTACTAATGCAACAGTATGTACTCATCCATGTGGTACATAATTTTTAGGACACCATTGGCTTCATAAAGTAATTTCACTAATGTCTCATTCGAGAAATCAAAAAATCTCATCAAATTTTCAATTATTAGTAGGTAAAATGAATGCCAATGATTCTGAGTTAACACTATTAGTCAAATGAATGAAACTCACCGCTTCTTTTGCAAATTAAGGAGTTAATATCTTCCTTGATCGGCCATGTCTTTCTCAGTCTCACTGTAACATCA